TGATGAACTGACAGATTACATCATTCAATCTTTAAACCGATACTACATCACTCGAATCTAAGAATTTTTGAACCGATAAGTGTTATTCTTGCAATTGTAATGGACGATGGGGTTGGGATATATAAAAAAAATTGTCACGGATTTGTCACGGATTTATCCGTGACAACCCCTTTTTCGTACTGTATTATTAAAGGTTACCGCTGGAAAATCAATAATTGAGGTTTGTCACGGATTTTGTCATGGATGGATCCGTGACAAACTTTTTTTGAAATTTGTCACGGATTTGTCACGGATCAAATCGGATTTGGCCGGAGTAAAAAACCGGTCGCCAGAGTAAATTTGTCACAGACCATATCCGTGACAATTCTTTGTCACGGATTTTGTCACGGACCTATCCGTGACAAAATGTATTCGTGACAAATCCCAATTTTCCGTGACAAAGCCCGTGACAACTTTGTCATGGCCGTAATCCGTGACAAAAATTCGTGACAAAACGCGAGTTTTTTTGTAGTGAACTTAATAATAGAAATAATACATGACCTTAATTTAACACTTTATTACTTAATAATTCACTGATTGGATTCAGACACCCTTACTCATGACCAGACACTTTTTCGGTACCGTGCTGTCATTCTTTAATTTTTTTCATCGATTCATTCATCGTCAATTTTTCATAGTCGCCCGTCATTTTGCATATGGGGTCACACCATGGTCGTGGTTTGATTTGACTCTAATACTATGTTAATACTTGAAGTTGCATCCTAAAAGTTCAATTTGATAGAAGGGTGGCCCAAGATTTTAATATAACTCTTTACAACTTCATTTTTTACCGGTGTGTGACACTCCAAAAAACAGCTTTTTGGTCATGGATTTTTGTCACTGATTTCGTCCCTGACAACTTTAATTTTTCACGGATTTTGTCACGGAACTTTTCCATGGTCCAAGAAATGTTTTTTTTCAAGGACGGAATCCCTTGCAAAATTTGTCATGGACAATATCCTTGACAACGTCCGTGACAAATGGCCGTCGGCACTCCCCAAAAAATCCCAACGAGCATTTTTCATCGTCGCAATTTTGTCACGGATTGTCATCCGTGACAAATTTTGAATTTTTTACCAGGTATGTTTTGTCACAGATGAATCCGTGACAAATTCCGTGAAAAATTTAAGAAGATTTTGTTGATTCAACCCGGTTGTACATATTCTTTTTTGTCACAGACCAATCCATGACAAATTGAGAAAGCAAAATAAATATTCTTCCTACCGGTCCTAGCCTAGACAGTTGTGACATAAATGTTTGTCACAAAAAATTTCGTGACAAAATCCCTGACACTTTTTTCTATATAAACATGCCCCGATTCATTCTATATACTTCATTCTATTCTTCATTCACATTATACTATAGTGTCTCTTTATAGAAAATTTTGATGATGTAATTCGATGTTATTATCCGATTCAATGTTTATGACATACTCCCCCTGTCCCCCTATTAAGTTACCACTTTCCTTTTTGGCAGTCCCTAAATTAAGTTCACACTTCCTTACTTTTCTTATTTGGCAAATTATCTACATCAAAATAGTGTCAAACAGTGCAAAACAATGTCAAACAGTGTCATACAGTGTTTGAACAGTGCCAAACAGTGCACTCCACAGTAAAGTCAAATTTATTTTCTTAATACGTGTGAAGTCAAACCGGTAACTTAATTGGGGGACGGAGGGAGTATAAGATACTCCCTCCGTCCCCCTAATATTGGTACGGAAGGGTGTACCCGCACGGGTAGCTCAGTTGGTCGAGTGGTGGGAGATTTGGAACAATGGACCAAGGTTCGAATCCCCGCAGCGACCGGGTGGAGGTCACAGAACCTGAAATAAGGCTGGGTCTCTGGTGCGCACGGGTGTATGGCCTACTGCCATTCTGCTGACTGAATCACCGTGACTAACCTCCCCACCATCCTGTCGGGTCGGGGTGGGGGGGCTCCTGGGATGGGAGATTCCACCTTTTGGAACAATTGGTACGCAAGGGTGTTGTGTGGTTTTTAAGAAAAGTAGAATTACGTGGTTGGTAATGAGTTGATAAAGTGGAAATAAAGTAAGAATGAATTAGAGCCACACAAATGTTACCAAGGATGTTTTTACTTGGACTATAATTTGCTGGTCTGGTCTGATCTGGTCTGGTCTGATCTGGTCTGGTCTGGTTTCTTTGTATTTTTATAACTATCCAAGTCTGGTCTGGTCTGGTCTAAACTGGTCTGGTCTGAACTGGTCTGGTCTGGTCTGGTCTGGTCTGGGACGAATTACAGTCCAAGTAAAAACTTCCCAAATATGCTATGAGACAATAATAAAGGGACATCCAAAAATGAAAAAAATGGCACTCCCTCCGTTCCTAAATAAACTTCCAACTTTCCTTTTTCGTCCGTTCCAATTAAAACTTCCACTTTCCCTTTTTGCTAAAGAATTTGTGGTTCACAACATTACTTACACATTTCTCTCTCCTCTGCACAACTCTCCACCACACAATATCTACTATCTTAAACTTTGTGCCAAACCCATTTGGAAGTTAAAATGGGAACGGAGGTAGTACAATTATAGAGAGACGGAGGGAGTATGTCATTTGAATTCATATACCCATTTCCTTTTTTGTTACACACGAATTTACTTACGTTGTTATTACTCCGCAATTCATTAGAAACGATAATGTAGTTGTTAATAAATAAGAAATTTATTTCATGAAAAATGTTAGTGAAGTTATAGTTTATTGTGAAAATATTTGAAATTTGTTTTGAAATATAATTAAATTTTAGGATTTAAATTCATAATACTAATCTAATTCATAATATTAATTAATGCCTCTTAATTTTTTATCTAATATTAGTGAATTATTGTACATATATTCAAGATTTGTTTGCAAATATATTTAAATGATAATTACATTGTTAATTTAATTTCGTTATATTTAGGATTCTAGTTCAAAATATTAATTTAATTGAATTATTAGTTAATTAAAAAGAAAATATTAGTGAATTATTATGCATATATTAAAAATTCGTCTGCAAATATATTTAAATTTTAAATTTATTTTTAATTTAATTTCCTTGTATATAGGATTTTATTTCCCAACATTAATTCAATTGAATTATTCGTTAATTAAAAAGGAAATAATAGTGAATTAATGTCATATATTTAAAATTTGTTTGGAAATATATTTTACCTCACAATATTATTTTAGTTGAATTATTATTTAATTAAAAAGGAAATATTAGTGAAATGTTGTGCATATATTTAAAATTCGTTTGTAAATATATTTAAATTATAATTATATTGTTAATTTAATTTCCTTGTAGTTAGGATTTTAGTTCACAATATTAATTTTATTGAGTTATTAGTTAATTAAAAAGGAAAGCATAGTGATTTGTTGTGTATACATTGTAATTAATGCATCTTAAAAATTTAACTAATAATATAATTTAATTACATGGTTAGTTAATCAAAATAATTTCTAAACAAATAAATTAATTAAGACTGTTGTTATAAATTTTATTATTGAATTATAGTGAGTTATAATTGTTAAAATGCTTTTTCTAGTTAATAAAAAATGTTTATAAACTCATAGACAAAATATGTTGGTAAATTATTGTTGTGATTATATATCTTCCCTAAGATACATTTTGAAATATATATTCAATTATTATTTAATTGGAAATGTTTGTACATTAATACATAAAAAATATTGTTGAATTGTTATTGCGGATATATTTGATTTTTCTTTTGAACTATATACTAGTATTAAATATAAGTAGTTATTGTTAATGGTTGTTATTTTGATCTTTTAATCAATTTTTTCGGCGTTTTTATGTTTGTCACAGATTAAATGCTTGACAAAATTAAAATATCAAAAAAAAAATCATCAGCATTCGTATTTTGTCACGGATTTGTACCCTGACAAACTCAAAAAATCGAATTTCATCATCTGATGATTTCGTGACAATAAAAAATTTGGCCGGTCGGCGAGTACATTCGATAGGGATATTTTTCGTGACAAAGACGTGACAAAAAATCACATATGTGTGATTATTGGAACCGAGGTCTCTAAAGAGGGGTCTTAATCTGGTCTGATATGATCTGATTTGTTCTGGTGTTATCTGGTCTGGTCTGGTATTGAAAACAATTTAATAAAAAACATCCTAAAATGTCTAATTATGAGGTGCTTGGCACTAGGGCTCACTTTTACATGTGACCTCCAAAAATTTAGTATGTACTAGTAGTTATAGGTTGATTTTTCTGAATGTTATGTATTATTATTATATCACATACAAAAAATCTATAATTTTTAGATTATCTGATTTGTGTACTTTAAATATTACAAAATTTATATTTCACTAAACTGTCTCATCTAATTGTATTTCATTTTTAAATTTTATAGACTTTCTTGTGTTAGGAAATAAGTGATTATTTCAATAAAAATGTCCATTTTTTATACACCGGACGTAAATAATGTCCTTTTGTGGGTCAATATTGTTCCGATATACTCCCTCGGCCTCCTATAATTGTCCAATTTTTCCATTTTTGGATGTCTCTTTATTATTCTCCCATACCATATTTGGTAACATTTGTGTGACTCTAATTCATGCTTACTTTATTTCCACTTTATTAACTCATTATCAACCACATAATTTTATTTTTCTTAAAAACCACAGCACTCCCTTCCGTACCAATATTAGGTGGATGGAGGGAGTAATTTCTATGGTGGACTCAATGGGCGACCTATTCCCAAGCCAACCACAATATTGCCACGGACTGCTGTCTTGGGCCAGTCAATGGACGCGCTTGGCTTCAAGAAAGGGTCCTGCCGGCTCATGCAGGGAAATGTCAAGAATGCACCAACGTTAACTCGGAAATCTCGTGCAAAGCGAGGGCAACATCGTCAATGGATACCACGATATTCTGCCAGGTCGAAGATTCAAGAAAGGACACATTAATAGGCTGGAGAAGTGGGGTAGAAGACAAAGAAACGGCTTTCTTGTTATTCACTTATTTTCATTAGGAATTTCCACCCGTTAACCACTGAGCCTCCAATCACACATTACTTACGCCATAAAAGGTCCTTGCCTTTGATATTGAACGAGACATTCGTCTGCGAAATTTCTTTGTCTTTTCCAATCCTCCGCGTTTTGTTCCTCGTTAAAAGAAAAAAGTTTCTGGGCTGAAAACGTCCAAATTAGATTTTGTTATACTTTTTGATTACTGAAGTTTGTTATTTCCAAATCTGTCGATTGATTCGTGGGTTTGGGATTCGATTGGAAGTGTGGGCTGATTTGGGTTCGATCTGGTAATCGGTCAGAAGCAGAGTACTTCTGCATTGAGGAGGCAAGGGAAAAGGCGATGAGCATCGCTAGATTTTGCGAAAAAGTCTCGACGAAGATGGTAGAAGGGGGATCTCATTACTGTCTCATGAAGAAAGATGATATCTGCACCGGGGTAAAGTTTTATTTTTTCATTTAATTTCTAGCTTCTATGTATTAGGGTTTTTCGAGATCTGATGAAAAGGCACGGCCTTTAAAATTGTACTAGGAAGATTCTTGTTAGACTTTCCTTTTTTGTACTTCAAATATGCTTGTCCGATTTGGAAAATTGTGTTTTGGAAAAAAACAAAATCATATCTTTAAGCATTATTAGTTTAAGGTAAAGAATTTCTGAAGCTGGGTTAGTTTTTCTTGCAAAGGATTTTCATAGCGTTTCAGAAGTGTTCCAATCGTCAAGGTTGCATTTTTATGTGTCCTGTACATGGGAAAGGTTTTGGATTGTGCATTCATCTGCTGTGATCTGATTGAATCTTTATGTCCTTGTATCTAAATAGAGATTTTGAAGGGATATCTTTATGTATGCTTTTGTTGAAGATTTTAGTAACAATAATTACTATCTGCAGGATTCGATTAGAGGATTAAGACTATCAAGATTAAAATGTCTGCTTCGAGGCCTCGACTTCAAAGTTTTAATATTCCTGTTCGTTCTGATACCAACTTGTGGCTTTGGAATCTATGTTCACGGCCAGAAAATCACATACTTTCTGCGGCCTTTATGGGAGAAACCGCCGAAGCCCTTCCATGAAATCCCTCACTATTATGATGTGAATGTGTCGATGGATAATCTCTGTAAACTTCATGGGTGGGGAGTTCGGGAGTTCCCTAGACGTGTCTATGATGCTGTATTGTTCAGTAATGAGGTGGACATGCTTACTGTTCGATGGAAGGAGTTATACCCTTTTGTGACGGAGTTTGTTTTGCTTGAATCAAATTCGACTTTCACTGGATTGCCGAAACCCTTATACTTTTCCAAGAATAGGAAGGATTTCAGCTTTGTTGAGCCCAGGCTGACTTACGGTCAAGTCCCGGGGCGATTTAAGAGGGGAGAGAATCCATTTGTCGAGGAGGCTTATCAACGGTTAGCGCTAGACTATCTTCTCAAACAAGCGGGCATTCAGGACGATGACTTGTTGATCATGTCAGACGTTGACGAAATACCTAGTAGGAACACTATAAACCTCTTGAGATGGTGTGATGATATACCGCCTGTCTTGCATCTAAGAATGAGAAATTATCTCTATTCCTTCGAGTTCTTTGTTGATAACAATAGCTGGAGGGCTTCTATCCATAGATATCAGTCGGGGAAGACAAGGTATGCTCATTATCGGCAATCGGATGAAATCTTGGTGGACGCAGGGTGGCATTGTAGCTTCTGTTTTCGACGAATCAGCGAGTTTATCTTCAAGATGAAAGCTTATAGCCATTGTGACAGAATAAGGTTTTCTCATTTTCTCAACCCAAAACGAGTCCAAAAAGTCATTTGTGAAGGGGATGATTTGTTCGATATGCTGCCCGAGGAGTATACGTTCAAGGAAATTATCGGGAAGATGGGGCCCATCCCACACTCTTATTCAGCAGTTAATTTGCCCGCCCATCTTTTGCAGGACTTTGACCGTTACAAATTTCTCTTGCCTGGTAACTGCTTGAGAGAAAGCGGATGATGCAAGTTGTGAGAGAAAGCGGTTGATCCAATTTTCTTCCACGCTGCAGCTGCTCTGTTACTCGGTGAAATTTTATGCCCCAAACACATACCCTAACTGCTATTATATTCATCCTCTATGAATGATAGTAGGATGAATTCTCTGACTCATGAAATCTGCATTAAAACATTGTATAGAACAAAGATAGATATTTCATTCATGGAACATTATGAAAGTTGCTGCTGCAGGATAGCGTTAGGTTTTAGACGGCGTGTATAGTTGTGTATATCTTCCTACCCTGCACTTGATGATCCCAATTCTGTAGGAAGATGTTAGTCTAGTTTTTTTTTAATCTTTTCTGTTTGTATTTGCCCTCTTGGGAAATTTTTGTGAGACATCAATCTATTTATTGTTTCGTAACGGCATGTCTTTCTTGTCTCTTCTTAGCATTTAGATTTCTTAACAGCAATATATTTTTTATGTTTATGGCAACCGTCTTGTGAAAAACTTTACACCTTTTCTTTCTAATGAATAGTCGTGTTACATCAGCGTTGGTAAATTTCAAGGGTATTGTTAACAGAGACAAGCTGAGAAATATGCAATATTAACTGGTTTCAACTTCTTTCTAAAACGCACTTTATGAAATATGAATCCCATTGCAACCACTATAAATACATTATACATCCCATTTGTAGGCCTGCCGATGCCCAATGGGTCGGATTTGGGCCGGAAAGTAGTGTTTCAAATCCGGACCTGCTAAGTCAATAAAGGATCCGGACCCGATCCGTATATCCAGCGGGTCTGAAAATTTGGACCCAGGTCCGGACCCAATGGGTCTCGGAATTGGGTCGGGTAGACCCGCCAAGTATGATACTATCGTACAACTTTATAAATTTTGTGAAAATGAAAAGGCATGTTTATAAAAGTAAAGCAAAGTGCACAAACTTAAAAGCATAATATATTCACTTTTTAAAAAAAACAAGGTTTTTCATAGACAATTAATACTTTTATCCAATAAAGTATCGGTTCTTGTAGAAGCGTACAACTCCACACTATGTCTCCCAAACTTTTTCTCGCACAGAAAACTCGTATATTAAATTAGACAAGAAATTACTACCTCCGTCCCGTAAAATAAGTCTCACTTCAATTTGGATCGGAGTTTAAGAAAGTGGGAATAAAGTGGAAATGTATGGTTATGGTTGAGTAAGAAAAAAATAAATGAATGTTAGTCACACAAAACTTTCCAAAAAGGGAAATGAGAACAATTTTTTGGGACGGCCCAAAATAGAAAGTGAGACTTATTTTATGGGACGGAGGGAGTAGATCACAAAAAGGTCTCTATCCTACTGAGTGTATAAAAACATATTATATATGATAATGGTACAATAATAATAATAATAATGATGATGATGATGATGATGATGATGATGATGATGATGATGATGATGATGATGATAATAATAATAATAATAATAATAATAATAATAAATATTGGGCTTTGCCTACAGAGCCCAATAGACATTTTATCAGTATGTTTGAGGGTATCTCACTATCTCGATCAATATCACTTATACAGTAGGTATGTATTACTGTGTATCTTTTTACTTAAAGAATTACAACTAATAAGTAATAACTTTATGTGTTAGTATGTGTGTGTGTGTGTGTTAGTTTGTATTAGTTTGTATACATTAGTTTGTATTTTTTATTTGAGGTATATATATTAGTTTATATATATATTTTACTCCAGGGGGGTCTGGGGGAGGGGGGCTGGGGTTCTGGAGTAATCAGGGCTGAACTCACTCCATTGAGTTTCAAACCCTTATGTGCGTAGCGGGTTTCGAAATTGAGACCTCTCACTAGGCACGATAACAATCAAAGAAAAAAGAGTAAACAAAACGATAAAAAGTGTTATGTCTGTCGTCCGCCCTCGAACCAGACTGAGAATCTATCACCTCTATAGAAGCAATAACATTCGTTGATCCTGTAATGAGCATAACTGAGCCAATGTATGGCAAACCAGACTTCTCATCACCTAAATTTAAGAATTTATCTGCTAGGAAAAAAGACAATGTCCAAAACAATATGCAGTTCGACAGAAAAACACAAACTGAATAAAACACAATTAAAATAGAGTTTACCCATCTTCTTCCAAACCCTAGATTTGCTTGCACTCCATGGCGGCGGCTCAGGAGGGGGACGTGCCCGCCGCTCATCTGCCACACCCTCAACATCAGCTTTATCTAGATCCAGTTCTTCTTCCTCTGTCCCAATCGCCATCTTCTTGTACACTCATCTACAATTCCACGATAAGATGCTCATTGACTCTTCCCTACCAAAATCCTCCCTGTGATCTCCTCCTGCGGCCAATAACAAAAACCTTCTCGACGCCGTACTTGCCCGAGCGAAGCACCACCGAACAAAAAGCTAGGCGTCACATGAGTCGGCAACCCTAGAAGCTCAACTTATTTGAAGTATTATACTAATAATAAATTTTAAATGAGTCTAGGTTCTTAACAGGTCGGAATCATATGTATCATACCCGACCCGCTTATTAAAAATACTAACGGCTCTAGGTCTGGGTCCGGGTAAACTGAATAAAATATAGACCCACATCCGCTAAAAACTATACAAAGTGATTGATGGAGTATATGGGTCTGAGCCCCTGGACCCACATACTCGGAAGAACAGCAAGCACAAGACACAGAGTGGCGCCCTCGTCGGCCAAGACGCCCCCGTCGGCCGAAAAGGGGCCAACTCAGATTATGGTCCTGAGCCCAAGGAACCCGGGTGCCCTCGTCGGCCGTGCCCTCGTCGGCCACACCCTCGTCGGCCCCGAAGACCTCACAGAACCGGATTTTATACTTATTCATTTGTACAACCCATTAGTGGCTTTGTATTCGGCCCAGTAGCGGTCCAGTTGTAAATGGGCCTCCCAAGCCCAAGGTTTGGGAGCCCAGCCCGTATTTTCTCTATAAATACTCCCCTTGGGAGTAGTTATAGGGGTTACAAAATCATTCTATTGAAGCATATTATTGCACTTCTCTCTCTAGCTCTCACTTCTCTCTAGATATACTCTATCATTTGGTGCTCTCGTTGAGAGCTAGAACAATCAAGTTAGCACCCTTCGTCGCTACCAAGCACAGCTAACCACTGATCATGGGGAGAACTAAGTCAAACCGCAACCTCGTCAGCAAAGCCATCCCTGAGGACCAGGAGCCCAGGGAGCACGATGAGGACGCCACGGCCGACCAGGCCGGTGGAGGGGACCTCTTCCAGGAGGCCTTCAACCTCACGACGGACCTCCGCAACCAACTTAACGGCGGAGTCCCCGACGCCCACCTCGGCTTGGACAAGAAACGAGCTGAGAAGACGGACCACGCCCCGGCCCAGCCTATGGCCGCGGCCTCTCCGTCCGTGGATCCACAGGTCCAGGCCGCACTGTCGGTCATCATCGCCAGCCTGGCTCAGAACCCCGCCGTCCTCAGCGCGCTCTTGCCAAGGACCGGGGGGAACGTCACTCAACCCCCTCAGCCCCAACCGTTGGCCGTCCAGATAGGCAACGATGAGGGGGTGATGCCCCAGGACACGACGTCGTCCCACTCCCACCCTGCTTCCCCTCTTCGGCCTGGGCAGACCCCAACGCGTGGAAAAGCCTCCGCCTTCAATAGGCTAGGTGACACGCGCCGTCGTCCGATTTCGGAGAGGATGGCGGGACGGATTGGTGATCCTCGTCCTGGCTCGCCGAGGGAAAGCTTGGGGTCTGTGTCCCGGACAGCGGACCAGCCCCGCCCGGACAAGGGCAAGGGAAAGTTGCACGAGGATGACGTGCGTCACCAGATCAACGCGGCTCACAACGAGCGCATGAGGAACCAGCCGGGCGCCGCTGCGGCCGCCAGGGACCCTCGGGACGAGGTCATCGCCCAGCTGGAAAGGAGGCTATCTCAGATGGAAGCCAAGCAGTCGGCCAACATCCCTACGGCCGGCGCCTCCAACGACCCCGGCCTCAACGCGCTCATGAACAAGGTCAGCGCCCTGGAGAAGGATCTGGCCGAGGGGCGAGGTGACCCCATCATCCAGGTCAGGACCAGGACCCCTTTCACCAACAGGGTCCTCTCGGCCCCCATCCCGGAGAAGTACAGGGGGAACGCCATCAAGTCCTACGACGGCCGATCTGACCCCCAGGAACACTTCAGCCGTTACCAGAACAACATGCTGATGGTGAACGCGTCCGACGAATACCTCTGCTATTGGTTCCTCTCTACTCTTGAGGGGCCAGCGTACGAGTGGTTCAACGCGCTCCCCGAAGGGAGCATCGACTCATGGCAGGATCTCGCCCAGCGCTTCCTCACTCACTTTGCCGGGAGGAAGCGCGCGAAGAAGTATTTCACCCACCTCCTCTCCGTCAAACAGCAGCACGAGGAGTCCCTCCGATCATTCATTGATCGGTAGACGAGGGAAACCGAGGAGGTCGAGGGGGCCGATGAGCGCACCCTCCTCGCCTTGTATCAGGGAGCCCTCCGCAGCTCCCCATACGCCAGGAGCCTCATCACCGACCCCCCGAGGTCGTACGCCAAGGCGCTCCAGCGCGGAGGCTTATACGCCGACGCCGACGAGCTCCACAATCACAAGAGAGAGGGGGGGCATCCCTCCAAGCCTACGAGCAACAAGCTCAGGCACTCCATTGTATTTTGTATCAGCGAAGGGCTCAGGCCTAGCTGAGAGAGCACATCGTCCTGGCCCCGTAAGCCTAGAAGTGAAACGCTCAGGTATGGCCGACGATGTCCCCAGGACGAGGGGCCCGCAAACGGCCCACGTCTTGAAACAGGAAGCTCACCGCGTCGTCCACGCGCCAGATCGCAGGACGACAGGCCTGAAATCATGACCGAGGTGACAAAATCCCAAAACTCAGGGATGGGCAACGACAGCCGTTGGAAACCGACCAAAAGTCTAGCCCGCGTCATAAATAGGCGACGGGACCCGCCCTGAGATCACGGACGTTATAAACGAAGTCCGAACCGGCCGAAGGACGAGCACACCCTTCGGCCGAAGCCTGAAAGAAGGATACTCCCCGGAAACAAAATATATATATATATATATATATATACAAGGGAAAAAGAGGGAAGCCGACGGCCGCGCACACTAGCCGGCCTCGAGCAATGAAAAAATAAAATCCCCACAACTCAGGCCCAACTAGGCCAAGTACATATCAGTTGAACACAAGTGTAGTACCACTGTCAAGTAACATGGACGACACGTCCACGCGCTACAAGGGAATAATCAAGGCCGAAACACACGCCCATGAAACCCTAACCGCATCGGTTGGGTGACACGCGAGAGGTGACCTTCATCGGCCACAATCCTTTGAAGCACCAACGTGTGGTATGAAACAAAGAATCACAATCCTGAGGATGACCAGGACGAAGCGGGCACTTATCCCAACTTGCCACAGCATCTCGGATGGCCGCTGCAGGCACTGGAACCAAAGCTGTTGATCAAGCGAAAGTTATTTGG